AAATGGCCCAAAGGTATGTGAAAAAAATGCTTAACATCACTGATCATCAGGGAAATGCAAATCAAACCCACAATGAGATATCACCTCACACCCGTCGTCGGGATAGCTATTAGCAAAAAAGCAAAAGACAAGTGTTGGTGAGGATGTGGAGAAATTGGAATCCTTGTGCACTGTTGGTGGGAATGCCAAATGGTGCAGCCACTATGGAAAACAGTTACTGTTGGAAGTTACTGAAAAGTTTAAAAATAGAACTACCGTATGACCCAGCAATCCTGTTCTGAGTATTTATCCAAAAGAATTGAAATCAGGATCTCAAAGAGGTCCTATGTTCATTGCAGCACTATTCACAACAGCCAAGACATGGAAACAACCTGAGTGTCCATTGACAGATGAATGGATAAAGAAAATGTGGTATATACACATAATGGTGTACTATTCAGCCTTAAAACAGAAGGAAATTCTGCAATATGCAACAACACAGACGAACCTCAAGGACGTTATGCTAAGTGAAATAAGCTGGTCACAGAAAGACAAATGCTGCATGATTCTACTCATATGAGGTATTGAAAACTGTCAAGTTCACAGAATCAGAGTGGAATGGGGGTTGCCAGGGCCTAGGGGGAGGGGGAAATGGAGAGTTACCAATCAACGGGGATAGAGTTTCAGTTAAGCAAGATGAGTAAGTTCTAGAGATCTGCTTTTCAGCATTGCACCTGTGGTCAACGGTACCATACTGTACACTTAAAAATTTTTTACGAGGGTAGATTTCATCTTAAGTATTTGTACCACAATAAAATTAAAACAAAAAAAGAGAGAGAAGAAATCCTGATGTGATGCTGCGCCAACCCTCAGTTCTAACCTGGTGAGTCTGGGCCGGGGCCCAGGTGGAGAGGGCGAACACAGTACAACTTAGCATGTTTATGGCTGAGCTCTGCTCTTAGTAGTAATTGCACCCATGTACTGAGCACCCTGAGCACCAAGCACTATACTTTAAGTACTAAGTACTAAGCACCTACAAAGATGTTTCAGGTACTGTTATTCCCACTTGAGAACTGACGAAAGTGAGAGGTTAAGTCACTTTTTCTGGGTCACCCAGTTGGCTGTCACTAATGCCTGTGTTTGTGCCCAGGTCAGCCTGACTCCAAAGCCCATGCTCTACCTACCATGCCACACAGCCTCCAAGCAGGAGTCCCCGTGGGGCAGAGACATGGGTGTCCCATGCCTTTCCATTTCGGGGTCAACAGCATTACTTTTGATGTAGGCTTGTCCACACGGAAGCATCATCATCCAGATGGAGAAAAGGGGTGGTTTGTGGCTCAGCATTGAAGAAGAACTTTCGGTTAGTCAAAGGAGTTGGAGGTGAGATAAGCAGCTTGGGGAGGCAGTGGGCACCCACCATCATCGCTGGGGAGCCACCTGAAGGATCTGTTGGAAGGAGATGAGTCATCCTTCAAAGTATTGAGTGTGTGTGTAGAGGCAGGCAAGAGGGGTTGAGCTTAGGTACTCCCAGTATGGCCCCAGGCCCCGAAATTGAGGGGCTTAAAGGGCTAGTCAAAGCTCTGTGGGTGAAGATGGTTCTAGAAGATGAGCTCACAAACTAGGGAGTTCCAGAAGACTCTGTGTCAGTCTGGAGCCTACCTTCCCCATCATTCTCTTAATACCAGGTGCCTGGGGCTCCAGCAGTATCATGTGGGGTGTCCTGAGCTGAAGCAGGGTGTCGGGCCACTGCTGCTGCCACCACCGTCACTGCTGTGTTAGTTCTGGTGGGGACGACACCTGATCAGTGAGCCCTCTTCCCCCTCTTCCTGCTTCTGTTAACCAGGGTCCTGGGCTGGTCTGGCCAGAAAGGGGTACAGAGAAAGAAAGGTGATGGGCAGAGATGGAGGGGTCCTGGGCTGGGAGAGTGATGGGTTGAGAAAGAGGAGACTATATTCACAGGTCTCTGGTCTCAGAATCACCGGACCTGACTCCTATGCCTCTGGATCTGCTGTGAAATATTCAGGATGAACTCACTTTTAAGCCACTTTGCCAAAAAAAAATCAAAAACAGTCTCTGTATAGTAGTCAACTTGGCTTCTTCATCTATAAAGTGGGGATATTAATCCTACCCCTCTTGAATCATTGAGAGGCTTAGATGAGATCAAGTTAGAAAACATCCAGAAAAGGCCCAGCACAGCATCTGCCAGATTTTAAGAACTCAGTAAAGTTAATTGTCTTCCTCCCTCTCATCCCCACACTCTGATGGGAAGGGCTCAGCCCTTGTAGTTGTGACTTCAGTACACTTTGGTTTAAGAAGCACCCATTGAGCAGCCACTCCATACCAGCAACTCTGCTTAGACTCTTAGGATGTGAAGACAAATAAGACTGCTATTGTTCTTTGGAAGTTCATCTTGTGGTGGGAAAGGCTGACATATATTACAGTCTAGTGTGACAGATGGAGGGCAGAAGTACAGGTGACTTGAAAGTGTTGGGGGGCAGTGGCCTACCAGGAGAGTCTTGCTGGGGAACTCACCTCTGATGTGACCCTTGAAGTACGAGTAAGAGTTAACCATATAAAAGAAAGGAAAGGATTACTGTTCTAGATGGCAGAATCCTCAGGAGCGAACAACATGGCATTGCTGGAACTTAAGTGTTAGGTGGGGAGAGGTCAGCAGGGCTGGGTATGAGGGGCTTCATGGACCATGCTTAGGAGCAGTGATGAAGGGAGAGATTGAAGGATGCCACATGGCCAGGCTTTTTGTTTAAAAAATTCATTCTGGTGACTATGTGTAGAATAGTTTGGAAGAAGCGTCAGGACTGGACACAAGGAGACCATCAGCATGCCATGATGACGGTCTCAACTAAGGGAAAGATGGCACTCTCGGTGGGAAGGTAGACTCAGCAGCACTTTGGGATTGATTGGTTGGGGATGGGTAAATGATGTAGTGATGGAAAGAAGGAGTGAAGAATGACATCCATATTTCTAGTTTGGATAAATGAGTTTAAACCAAAGAACATTATGAGTTTAAAACCAATAATGTTTTAAACTAAGAAAGTGAAATGGAAGAGCAGATTTTAGCAGGAACGTTAGTTCTGTTTTAGACATGCTTTGTTGAGGTAGGTGTGGGATAGCCAAGCGGAGATGTCCGGGAGGCAGTTGCATACGGGGTCTGCTGCTCTGGGGATGATGTAATATAAAGCCATCAGCAGAAGGTGGCAGTTAACAGCAGGGCTTCCCGAGGGGATCCCGAAGTGGAGGAGAAGAGGGCTGACGGTAGAAATGCCTGGAAAGCCTACCAACAGTTAAGACCTGGGCAGAAGTGGATTCCACAAGAGGAATGAGAAGAAATAGCCTGAGAGGAGAGAAGGGATCTGGGAGAAGGGAGCATCACGGAAGCCAAGAGAGGGAAGGCAGCAAGTGGAGTGGTCAGCAGTGCGAAATGCTGCGGAGACCCCCATCAGACAAGAACTGACAAGGGTCCGTTGGACCGGGCAGAACAGTTTCAGGCAAGTGGTGGTGGCAATGAAGCTGAATCTTCCTGGGTTGAAAAACAAATAAGAGGTGAGAAAATAGTAATTTTCCCCCTAGAAGTTTAGGTGAGAAGAGGAGGAGAGAGATAGGTCAGTACAAATAATGACAAGGATCAATGGAAAGTATTTTAGAAACTGGAGGACTAAGCATGTCTATACACGCAGAGAACGGAGGAGATGCTGATGATGCTGAGAGAGAAGAGATGACAGGTGGAACAAAGCTTAGAGAGGGGAAAGAATGAAATCTAGAGCTCAGAGGAAAGATGAGTCTTGATCAGTGTAGACGCACCTCATCCTCATGCTAAAGGGGTAAAGATGAGGGCGGATGAGGCCACTGATGCCTTGGTAAGCGGACAGGGCTAAGGCAGAAGGAGGAAGGAAATCTTACACGTCATCACCTTGTTTTTCTCATTGAGGCAGGAAGTGAGGTCTTCTGGGAGCGAAGAGGTGGGATAAGGCAGAGATGGGACCCAAGGACAGTAACGAGGGTCTTGAATACCCTCTGAGGGAAATGGGAGAGAGAAAGCTGACCAAAGACAAGCCTTAGTGCTGGTGCCAGAAGTCCTTTGTCATAGAAATAACAACGAACCTATTTTTCGTGCAAAGAGTAAAATTCTCTCTGTGCCTTTCTTTTCTCATTCATTCTTCCAACAATCTTCTGAGGCAGGTGTTATTAATCTCATCATTTTATAGATGAGGAAATTGAGGCTCTGAGAATGTCCAGAGACAGAGATGTTGTAAAGTGTAGAGGTGGGCTTCAAACTCAAGTCTTATGGCACAACCATACTCTTAAACCACCCTGTCACCCTCAGCGGGGTTGGAGGCCATGCATTTGTAGGGAGACCTGTCTTGAGGTTGTGGGACTCTTTTGTTTTCTGACTCCATGAAGGTGGAGGGCAAGCGTGGTGGGTAGAGATCATGAGAGATGTGGGAAGATAGGTCAGAGGGGGCGGTCAGGGAGAAATTGGAATTGAAAGCTGCAGAGGTAGGGGGATGGGGGGTGATGACGAGATGCGGGATGACAAGGCCAGGGGAGGGAGACTCAGCGTTAGAAGGGCACATCCTTGGGAAGTGGGCTTAGGGATTCATTTACAGCGAGGACACTGCTTGGCGCATCCCCTCTGGGAACAGCAGCACATGGCCACACCCAGTGGGGCTTTGATTCACATACGCTTTGGTCTCAGTCCAAACTTTGTCCCTTCCTAGTTGTGAAATCTTGGGCTTCAGGATTCCATAACGCCTGGTGTGTGGTATGGAACTCAAAATATACTCTTTTCTCCCCCATTTTTCCTCCTCTTCTCTCCACTGCTGGGGCAGGGTGGTATAAAGTGGGACTGGAAGGGAGAAGGGTTGGCCTCAGGGAACCCTCTCCTGGATCTTGAGGGCGTGGCTGATGCTTCCTGAGGGCCGCAGGGAGACGTCTTGCAATGTAGGAACCTTCTCCCCATTTCCCAGGGGCACACACGGGACCTGTTTCTCTTCTTCTTCCAGGGGGATAGCCTTCTGTGAGTGGACGACCAGGGCCGTTGGGCTGCCTGCCATCTCAAAACCCAGCTCTGAGCCTGAGCGCCGGGGGTTCCACTTCTGCTGCCTGCATGGATGCCAGGGGCTGGCCTCCCGGAAGGTGGCTGTGCCCGCCCGGGATCGTGTTGCTGGCCTTCGCCTCTCTGCTCAGCTGCCTGCTCCCCTCCGGCCAGGCCAAGATCTACAGTCGCTGTGAGCTGACCAGAACGTTACGGAATTTCGGCCTCGAGGGCTACCGGGGCTACAGCCTGGCTGACTGTGAGAACCCCTTTCCCTGGCTGGCCCCGGGCTCCCTCCCACCAGCGCTCCCTCCCTCCTCCTCTCCCTCCTCCTCGCTCAAGGGGTGTGGCCTTGGGAGCTTTCTGATCTTCAGTTCTCATTTGTAAAGCAATGATTATATGAGATGACAGGTAGAGAACACCCAGAACCGAGTTAAATACATAGCAGGCAGCCAAGGTAGGAGCCAAAGGAACAGAATAGCTTAGTACACTAATCTTAATCATAGCACAAGGATCAGACAGTCCTATTGACGTTTAGAGGAAACTGGGCAGTAGTACCAAACTTTTCAAGCTGACGGCCGTTTCAGGAAGCTGTGAAGGACAGCCACATCTGGGCTCATCTTCTCTCTAGTTCTAGCCGTCTCTGGAGGTCCCACCTGTGTCTTCCTAATCTTGCCTCTGAAGATTTAGCTCTAGTTCATTCACTCCACAAATGTTTCTTGGGCCCTACTATGTGCAGAACAGTGAGACAGCAGGAAGACTGCTGGCTTAGGAGTCAGGAGGCCTGAGGTCCAGTCTTGATTCTTGCTATTTGGTAGCTGTATGTGACCTTGAGTAAGTCACTTTGCTCCTCTGAGCTCTGGTGCATTCATTTGTCAAGTAGGCGGGAGGGCGTCTGCCCTGATCACCTCGAAGCAGGTGCTGAGGCTCGGAGGAGCTAACGTGTGGGAGTCACACTGTCAGTGCTCTCGTCTGGGTTGGCCTTGATCTTCTGACTAGGTCGTTGTCTCCACCCTATGCAGGGGTCTGTCTTGCTTACTACACAAGTGGCTTCAACACAGCTGCCGTGGACCATGAAGCTGATGGAAGCACCAACAATGGCATCTTCCAGGTCAACAGCCGGAAGTGGTGCCAAAATCTCGACCCAGAGGCCCCCAACCTGTGCCAGATGTACTGTTCCGGTAGGCTGGACCTGAGCCCGGGGCCGAGGGGCCAGGCCTCTACTGCTTCCCTGGTTTTGTTTGCTCCTTTTGTCTTTATCTCTGAGTGGGGATCCCCCCAACCTGCTGGGCCCACCCAGGAGAGCGGGATGGGACAAGTGATGAGGGTGGGTCCTCCGTGAATCTGATTTGGGGTCCCAGATGGGAGACTGTCCTGAGAGTTACAGGGATTGAGAGGGGATTGCTTCTAATTGTGGGGGAAGTGATGGAGTCATACCTGTGCTTCCAGATGGGTCAGGAGACAGGGCTGGGTTTAGGATGGAGGAAGGTGTATGTGTTATGTGTGTGTTTGTGACAGAGACAGACAGACAGACAGACTCTGGATGTCCAGCTCTGCCCCTGCTCCCTCATCATTTTCTCTACCCCTCTCCCCAGACTTGTTGAATCCTAACCTCAAGAATGCTGTTATCTGTGCCATGAAGATAACTCAAGAGCCCCGGGGCATGGGCAGCTGGTAAGCAACTTGAGCTGGAGCCCCCCAAAGCAATGTAGCCAGGACTGGGGGACAGAAGCAGGGAACTGACCTTTTCTGAGTACACAATTTGTCCCAGGCGCCATTCCATGGCTTCACATGCCACACAACTACTTTTGGTGGTGTGGATTACTACCACTGAAGTATTTGCAGACAACACACTGAGTTTCAGGGAAGACAAACAATTCACTGGTGGTCTTGGAGGCAAGCCTGGCTCTTCTAAGACTTGCCTGTGTTGGGATGCCTGCCTACAGGTCCACTAGCTCTGGGTATAGTAAACCTTTTTGTTTGTTTGCTTTTTAACTGTGGCATCTTTGTCTAAATTGGCTTTTATATAAAAGCTCAAGATGTACAACAGATCAAAGAAGAGCCTCCCTGCTTGAAGCATGAGTTGGGGGGAGGGGCACTCCGGAGCCTCACCCTGTCGGCCTTCTCTTTTCTCACCTCCTTCTCACAAGATGGCCTCTGAAGCCATCTTCACAGGCAAGGGAGTTGGATGGGCTTCTGATGGGGCATTGGACCAGATCGCTGGTTCACAGAGGGGCCTCTGAGGCAGGGGCCCTATAGCTTCCCAGCTTCTTCTGATAAGAGTTTCACTACTCAGTCTCCAACCTCCCTTTTCTCACGTTTCTGGATGAGTGACCAGCAGGGGCAGCATGTGGGCAGGTCAAATACTCTAGGTGGTTGGAGCATCAGAACTTTGGACAGATGTGATAGTGACCAGGCTGGTAAGGTAACTTGGAAGGCATTAAGTGTCAGCCCAAGAGCAGAAGAAAGGGGAGAGACTAGAGGCCGTGGGTGCCGGTGGGGAGGGTTTTGCAGGAGTCTAGGTGAGAGATAAAGAGTCTGGAGTGGAACAGCTGCGTGGGTGATGGACAGGAGAGGGGTTGGGGATGAGGGCTGTGGAGGAGGACTGGAGACTGCTGACAGGGGGCAGTGAGGGAGAGGAGGAGGTGAGAACGACTGTGACTCTACAGAAGGTCTGAGATGGGCCTTAATGGCCATAGCTTTGGGGGAAGTGTTGGTTTGAGAACAGTTGAAGCTCTAGGAACTGAATCTGGAGTGAGGCAGGCTCAGCAGGAAATAATGCACATCTATAAAATCAGAAAGGGCGAGGGCAGGCTCAGGCAGGAATCCAAGGGCTTGAGGCCTTGGGGGCACCACTCTTGGATGGAAGAAACAGGTTCTTTTGGGTTAAACCAAAGAACAACTCTCTTTTGTACACTGGGAGTAAATTCATGGCATGTATAACCTCTGAGAGGTGGCTGAGGCTAAAGACAGGAAGTGGTCCCAGAAGGTAGAAAGGGTACTGTTTATTCCTTCCACACACATGCATTGAGAACTCATCTTTACCAGGCTCTGTGCTGGGTGCTGGGCTTCAGAGATGGCTGAGACCCAAGTCTTTGCCCTCAAGGGTCTCATGTCTAATGAGAAAGTTTAATGGAACAGACAAACGAGCCAGTTGACTACTCTTGGTTGATAGATCTATAGAGGTCCTTTAAGGACACTCTCAGTCATTGGGCTCTTTGACATTGACATCATGGAGGAGACTAGTAATCAAAGTTTGGAAGCCCTGGGAACTTGGGACCCTAGGCCCCCAGGCCTCCAGGATCTTGCTTATCTTCCTTAAGATGCTAGTGTGATACTGAAACAAGGTAATGGTCTTGAAAGAGCCTATAAACTATAGTTACCAGCAATTAAAAGAGCCAGATGAGTAGCCAGGGAGAAGTGGGTGTGGGTGCAGTTCTGTCATTTCCTAAATGTGGACCTTGGGAAAATAATTTTGTGTCTATCTCAGTTTTTCATTTGAAATATAGGGGATTATAATATCTGCCCAATCTTCCTATTAGGGCTGCTGGGGGAGGGGTGGAGAAACGGGTGATGGATCTGACAGTGCTAAGTAAACTGTAAAGCGCTGTACACGTCAAGTGGCATCATCGTCAGCAGAAGCAGCATGGGGTAGGAAGAGAGCATTGAACTGGGGCTCTGGACCCCAGGACTCCAGGCCTTCACCATTGACTTCCAGGTGAACTTGAGCAAATTACTCTGTATTTCCATGGGTAAAATATGGAGAAAATATAGATGATTTTTAAGGGCCATTCTATTCCTTTTTCACTTCTTCTAGTGGGTTCTTTGCTAGTCAACACGGTTTACTTGTCTCTCTTCCCCTTGCTAGCCTCTCTCCTTGCCTCACTTCTGGTTTAGAGCCCACGCCTCCTTCCTGTTCTTCTCTGAGCAGGGACTGAAGGCTGCAGCTGATCTGGTCTCTCCTCTTCCCCATCCTCCATCCTCAGGGAGGCCTGGAGGCATCACTGCCAGGGCAAGGACCTCAGAGACTGGGTGGATGGATGTGACTTCTAGGACCCTCTCTGGATAGACCAGGCCATGCGCAGCAGGCTGGGAGATGTGGTTTGGTTCCTGACCCAGGCTTGGGAAGACAAGCCAACTAATAAAGTATAGTTTAACATAAGTGTGGTTCTCACTTCTCACTGTGTTTCCAGGCGGCGTGTTGGAGCCGGAGTATCTCAGGGTTTCTTCACCTGCCCACCTGGCCTGGGCTTCAGGTGGGCTCCAAAAAGCTTGCCTCCACTCCGGGATGCCTAGGGGGTCAATGCCTCCCTTGTCCACACCTGCCAGAGTTTCCTAGATCTTTTACCTGGATCTAGGTTTGCCAGATTTAGCAAAACGAATAAACAAGTAAAAAACAATGATAACAACAAAGACAGGATGCCTGAGTTAAATATGAACTTCAGATACACAACAAAAAATTTTACTATAAGTAGGTCCTAAATACCACACGGGACATACTTACATTAGAAAATGATTTGTTGTGTACCTGAAATTCAAATTTAGTTAAATGTCCTGTATTTTATCGGGTAACCCCACCTGGGTCTGGTGTTGTGTACCTCTGGCTTGTTTGGGAGGGTCCTTGGGACACATTTTCTGTGGCTCTGGTCATGGTGCCTTGGCCCTCCAGCTGGTGACAGCTAACATGCTGACGGCCTCCCAGGGCTGGTGCATGGTGACTGGAGATGACCACAAAGGCTTCAGTTGCGGCTCTTACCCTGCTCTCCAGTGCCCCCCAGCGGTGAGAGATTCAAGTGCCACTGATAGTGACAGCGGTCACATCCTGAATAAGGAAGCGACCGCTTGTACTGCTGACCACTGCTGGGAGGCTGGAGGATGGGGTGAAGGGCACAGGTGGCTTTAGGGTAGAAAACTACAGTTCTTTGCCTTCTTTAATGCGTGGGGAGCTCAGAAGGAGGGAACACTCTCTCCCATTTACCAAGAGCTCAGCGTCTCAGGTCCTTTGGGATGGACTGTGTTTGAAGGAGGCAGGTGGGCAGAGTCTCAGGATCACCATGAATGTGGTGGCAAGAGCAGCAACTGAGGTGGCATCTGAGAGACTGAGCCCTGAGTTCAGACTGTAGATTCTTCTGGAAAGGCCTAGCGAACCCTGCAAGTACTGAACTATTGATTGAGACACGGCTGGTGACTCCCAGGGAGAAGAGAAGACTACGATGTCGACCATACCCTCCCCATCAACGTGCCATCTCCAAATGCCACTGGTCAACAAACGCCGAGAGCATCCACAGTTGGTGAGGCAGGCCAGTCTCCTTCCACTGCTGGTCTGGTGTTGGACCACTCTCAACCCCAGGGTATCAGCTGGTCTTGCCTTTTGTCCCATCCTAGCTTTTGGTTCTGCTTCCCAAGGGAGCTCTTGCCTCCAAGTCAAGGTGATGATAAAACTTGAGGGCTGCTCATACAAGTGGGCAGTGGTGAAGGACTAGCTCCTTGCTGGGAGCAGAGGGTTGTGGGGATCAACGGCTAATGGGTCCATGCTCATCAAGTCATAGGTAGGGAGATGCTGCTCTTTTTAATATTAAAGCAAACCTTGCATGCCTACAATGTGCCAGGCATTATCTAATTTAGACCCTGGAGTAATAACTGTGACGGAGGTACCATTATTATCTTCATTCTACAGATAAGGAACAGAGGCTCAGAGGAGATAAATTTGCACCCAGGTCAATGTGACTCCATGTGTGCTCTTGGGCCCTGTACTTTTCTGAGAGGTGGTTGTCCTGGGTCACCTGCAGTCTTCTCTTTCCCTCACCTGGCCAGAGACCCATGGCTCATCATCTTTGGGTGATTCATACTCTCTACCTCAACTTCACTTTAGATGTCTGTTGCCTGCAACCACCTGAGTGCTCCACTGGGTCCCCTCCACCCAGGAGTCGGTGGAGTGAGGCCCTTGGAGCCAAAGGGAGAGTTGTTACATTGTTAAAAGGTCTTGGAGGCTCTGGGCTGGCAGAATGGTCTCAGGACCCCTCCAGATGGGGCTGGGCAGAGGTCAGGCCTGGACAAGGGATCCTGGGCTGGGTGGTTGACCAGCAACAGGAGATGGAAGAGGAGTATCCAGGGGAGATTGTGCTGGCCAAAGCCAGGGAGCCCTCACCTGCGCATCAGGGTTAACTGGCATAGAGCTCCGCCTGGAAGTCCCAATTCCCAAGTGAGGTGCTCAGGCTGGTTGGAGTAATCAGGCTATGTCCTGGCGTCTCCCTGCTTCCACATCACTTTCTCACCCCTCATCCCACTGGTCATTTTGCCCTATTTTACCTTTTTAACATGTCTCCCTCCTTTCCATCCACATAACACTACTGTAAATCAAGCCCCCGTCACTCCTTTCCTAGGACAATTGCAATGGCCTCGAAAGTGTGTCCCTTGCCATCCCAACCCTTCCCTTAGACTGAGTTTTCCACCTTGTTACTCCCTTGCATCCTGGCCCCAGGGGATTTTCTCACCTTCAGGTTAAAGTCCAAGTTCCTTGGCTTGGTACACATGGTCTTCCATGACCCGGGCTCAGCTGCCCCCTGCAGTTCACGGACTGTTGCTCTAGCTGGCATGCATCCCTGCACTTGGTTCCCTGAAAGGACATGATGCCTCCTACCTCTCTCCATCGCTTTACCACTCTTCCCTCATTCATTGTACTCCAGCTGATAAACGCCGTCCTTTGAGGCAACAAGCCTGTTTTCACCACGGAGCCTTCATGCCTGCTGCTGTCTTCCTGGAATGCCTGTTGCTCAGATCTTTGAGTGCCTATTCTTTTCTCTTCAGTCAGGTCTTGTCTCAATTTCACCTCCTCAGAGTGACTTCTCTGACCACCGTAGCTGGAGATCCTCTCCCCTCCTTGTCACTGTCTTACCACCACAGTGTGTAGTACTATCTGAGGTTATTTTGTGCACATGTGAATTTATGCACATCCCTTTTTCAGTCTCCTTATACTAGATTGTAAGCACCATGAGGGCAGGAAATTTGTCTGTCCCTTCTATCCCCAGCACATATAAAATTGCCTGGCACATAGTAGGTACTCAATGAATGAATGAACTTGTTGAATGCACGATTGATGCACAAATGAATGAATGGTAGGTGCTCAGCTAATGACTGTAGAATCAGTAAATGAATGGGTTCTGATAGTATCTTTCAATATAGCAACAATTCATTCATTAAGTACTAGTGATGCATCAGACCTTAGGCATCTCTCCACATGGACCCACTGCACCTCCTGAGCCCTCTTGGGGAGACTCTCTACCTCTCTGGGGGACCACCCTGGCTGCTTTTCATCCAAGTCTCAGTCACCTCTCCCTTGGGCATGTCTTGGAGCAGAGGGAGTTCAGCACAATTTGGGAAGAGCTGGTACAATGGGTTTTTTTCTTTTGGGAAAGTCATTCCACCTCTCCGAGGCTCAGTGTTCCTCGTGGGCAAGAGGAGCTGATAAAGCCCACCTTACAATATGGTATTGATTACATAGTGTAGAGCAGTGAGGCACCTAGTCCAGGGCCTGGCGCAGAGTGGGGGCTTGAGAAACGCTGGCCCCTTTTCTGGTTTCCCTGAGCTCTCAGGGTGCCGAGTTCCAGCCCACCGGGGGAGGAATGGTGGACACACATCCTTCCTGTCCTGGTGACCAGGGCATACTTAGGAGGCCTGCACCATGTCCTCATCACTGTTTGCTGAGGAGGAAGAGGAGAGGGGAGAGAGTGGGAGGAAGGAGCGGAAGGAGAAGGGGGATGGTTGGGATAAAGTGGCAGAGATTTCTATGAGAAGCAGGGAGAATTAGGTGAATTTTTGTCAATTTTGAGTCTAAATCACCTCATTCTTGGACTAGTTTGGCTCCAGGAGACTAATTCAAAACGAGCTTTTCTAGATCTTTTGCACTACATGTGGAGATGATTAGCTTGCTAAGCCCCCTTGTCTCCCTGTAAGGACAGGTGAGGGGGCCAGGGGCTCCTGGCAGCCGAGGGAGGCTCTGCTGAGCACTCTTCTAGGGTGAGCTCCATGCCGTCCGCTGGAGATGGCCGAGTTTGTTTCCATTCCGCACTGGCCTGAGGCTTCTGGAGTAGAAGACTATGGGAGGCTGGCCCAGTCAGATGGGGTCCAGCATTTACTGGACACCTTGTATAGGGTGGCATGTGTGCCATCACTTCTTGCCCACAGCCGACATTGCAAACTGAGCACAAGCCTCTATTCTACTATGTGGTCAGGAATCCTTCTTGACGCTTGAATGGCAGCCGCTGTCAATGGAGTTGGCATGTAGGATGGGACTTCATCAGCTCCAACCTGCCATGTGTTACGCATCACACTGGCACTTTCCATAGTTAATCTCACTACCCTCGCAGCACCCCTAGGAAGTGGAAATGGCCATCCCCATTGTTTAGGAGGAAACTGAGCCCCAGGGAAGCTCTAGAGCTTGCCCAAGGTAATGCAGTTGGTGGAGCTTGGATTTGGATGGGGCTGTTGGACCCCAAAGGCTGTGCTTCATCCTCAGTGTGTCCCAGCCTCCATAGCTGGACTAGCCCTTGGACTCTCAGACAGCTGGACCCCTGGGGTGGGAAGGCACAGTGGAGGCAGGGCAGTGGAGAGAGCCCACTCCTATCCAGGAGGGATCCATCCTTCTTCAGACCCTCCAGGTTCTCCTCTGCCTCCAAGTCTTTGCTCAGGTATCTCCTCTGCAAACTTGCCTACCCAGAACTTCCATCCAACTCTCAAGGCTTCAGCCCAAACCTGCTCCACCTCAGCCCGGCACACAGACCCAGGTGCATCTTCTCCATCGAGCATGCTGGGCTTGGTGCACCTCCACTGTAGCTCTCGCTGCGCAGGTTCTTGTATGCCTATCTGTTTCCCACCTCTGCCCGATTAGATTTTGAGCTCCTGAGATTATGACCCCTTGATATATGGACCCCAGAGCTGAGCACAGTGCCTGGTACATAGTGGGCTCACAGAGAGTGCTTGTGGAGTGAGGGACCCTAGCCTGGGGCTGGAAGTCTTCTTCCAGAGGTTTCTTGACCCTCCTCCCTCCAAGGTGGGTTGGGCTGGGTATGCTTTGTTGCCCACCAATCACTTTGTCTTGGGCCAATTTTAACTTGATATATTTCCTTTTGAAAGGAAGCCAGAAAGTCTGAATTACACTAAAGA